GAGTGGCAGAGAGAGGGTGGCGGAAGGCATGTGTAAATAAAGTTCTTGGCCGAGTAATGCCTACCGTATATCAGATGATCACAACATTTGCAAACCAGGATTGCTCTCCATCTCTTAGCTATTGCAGCCCTGTTCATTGGTTTCCATTTTAAAGGCAATGGCTTCATCCTCTCCCCTGTAAGGACAGCTGCCTTTTCAGGGAATCTTTCCATGTGGTTCTTCTGGGCTATCAAATCCTCTCCGATGGATGGCCACCCTCCCTCCAAGGGGTCCTGCCCTTCACAGCCCTGGTCGGGTTTTGCAAACGAAATGCTACCGTGCCTTTTCTCATGTTTGGCCTTCCTGTTTTTATGCGTGCCTTTCACTTTGCCACACTGGCTGGATAGCTCAGGGGTTGAGGTCTGGGGGTTCGATTCTCACCCCCCCAGTGCCTCCTGCAAAGCAGAGCCAGCCTGGGTGGCCTTGGGACCATAGTCCCAGGGCACCCCAGGAAGGAGGGAAGATTGAACCACCTCTAGGCATTGTTTACTTGGAAATCACTGAAAAAGGTTCGCCATAAGTCAGAACTGATTTTACAGCTATTATTATTATTTTTCAAATTTTTCTAGCATTAGTCTTGCCCTGGTGAGTCAGGGTTCTCACAATACCTCCAGCACAAAATAGCCACATACTCATTTTCACTTCTAGGGAAAATTCAGGCTCAATCTCAACTTTGTTGTCGTTTAGTCGTGTCCGACTCCATGAACCCATGGACAAGAGCATGCCAGGCCCTCCCATCTTCCACTGCCTCATGGAGTTGGATCAGATTCATGTTGGTGGCTTCGATGACCCTGTCCAACCATCTCATCCTCTGTCGTCCCTTTCTCCTCTTGCCTTCACACTTTCCCAACATCAGGGGCTTTTCAAAGCATAGCTTGGACTGTGCAGACCTTTTCTCTGTTTCATGTCAATCTCAACTTTGTTGTCGTTTAGTCGTGTCCGACTCCATGAACCCATGGACAAGAGCATGCCAGGCCCTCCCATCTTCCACTGCCTCATGGAGTTGGATCAGATTCATGTTGGTGGCTTCGATGACCCTGTCCAACCATCTCATCCTCTGTCGTCCCTTTCTCCTCTTGCCTTCACACTTTCCCAACATCAGGGGCTTTTCAAAGCATAGCTTGGACTGTGCGGACCTTTTCTCTGTTTCATGGTGTCACAAAGAGTCAGACACAACATAACGACTAAACAACAACATCCTGAGGGTCTTTCTTCAGTTACTTCATAGCTGCCATTCCAAGTTTTCTTTTTTGGCCCATTACAAGCTAACATTAACAGTGATCAATATATTACGGCATGTCCATTAACATGAATGCTGTAAACTAGACTTCAACGCTTAATGAGGTAATGTCAATGAATCCTCTTAACAGAGTAAGGGTCCTGTACTCAACAGATAAATGGTGGTGCCCCTTCCAGGCTTTGTGCCTCAGAAGAATCCTTAGGATGATTGTTTTGTATCCGATTCTGTACAGTATATTGTATCCTTCTCAAAAACCTTCCGCCCCATTAACTTTGTTACACTCATCGGCTGCGCAAGCTCTTTGTTGCATTTAATTGGAGGAAAAAATAGATAAGCTTTTGGCAATTATTAGCATCCAAAAAGAAGATAACAGGACTATGCTGTCTGCTGTGAGGTGATTAGATAGCATGCATTTATTTATTTAATTTATACCCTGCCCATCTAGAGCAGATCACTCTGGGTGGCAAATCCAAAGCAACCTGAAAGCTTTTAGCAATATACTCTCTTTTTGTTTTAATTTGCAAAGTAAACCAGAGCCACAACTCATGTGTTTTGGAGAACCTGGAGGCCTCCTCTCAAAGTAAGATCTCAGGTACAAAAACACCATATCCTCTCAGTGATCTGACTGGAGTGCAGTCATTGAAGGCACTTTTCAAGTAGTTTCCTCTGCCATCAAGTCCTGTTGGTCTTGCGCCAACTGCACACGAACATTGCTCGTGGGAACACTATGGTTGCCTACCAAACAGCAACCCCACAACTGTCTAGGAGATGGCTGTAACTCCAACTTGCCTTTCCTCTCCCTTGCCAATGCATAGGGGTGGGTGCAATGAGAGGAGGATATGGTGGCACTGTGGGTTAAACAGCAGAAGCCTCTGTGCTGCAAGGTCAGAAAACCAGCCGTCGTAAGATCGAATCCATGCGACGGAGGGAGCTCCCGTCGCTTGTCCCAGCTCCTGCCAACTTAGTCATTCGAAAGCATGCAAATGCAAGTTGAGAAATAAGTTCCACCTTGGTGGGAAGGTAATGGCATTCCGTGTCTAGTCGCGCTGGCCATGTGACCATAGAAGGTTGTCTTCGTACAAAACACTGGCTCTACGGCTTGGAAACGGGGATGAGCACCGCACCCTAGAGTCGAACATGACTGGACTAAATGTCAAGGGGAACCTTTAACTGGGTGCAATGAGTGCATTTTTGAAAATCCCGTTATTCTGAGTGAGAATCTGTCGTGTTAGGACCGCAAGGATAGACACGGTCTGTCCCTGGTAGAGCCACAACTTCTGTTTATTCTCCCACTACCAAGAGAGACTACAGACCCAACTTGGTGAAGCTGAGCGGGACCCTCAACTGACCTCCCTTGACCTTCTCTGCTTAATCTTGGAATCCCTGTATGAAATGAGACCAGTAAACGCCGTATGTTCCCCCACTTCTCCCCTTAGCCCACAAAAGCATATTTTTAAAATGTACTAGACCAGTGGGGGTCCCAACCTTGGGAACATTTCCCAGATGTTTTTGGCCTACAAGTCCCAGGAATCCCAGCCAGCAGAATTAGTGGTGAAGGCTTCTGGGAGTTTTAGTCCAAGAACATCTGGTGACCCAAGATTGGGAACCACTGAGCCACAGAACACAGTTAGAATAGAGGTTGTTGTCATGATTCTCTTAATATACTCTGACAAGCCATTATGAGTAAGTTGTTTACAGTGCACTTTCAAACTCAGCCTAAGAAGCAATATTTCTAGCAACATCAGTTGCTAGTACAGCAGGACCACCCTATCTTTAACGTGCTCCCATCAGTCAAATACAACTCCAGTAAAATTCATGAGCCTTCTGCTCAGGTTTATTATTATTTTTTTGACAAAAGTTCTCGCCCAAATGACGTGAATAATACTTATACAAAAATGTAATGCGTTGAATAAATAAAGGATTTTAAAAGCTGGGTTTATATACAGGTGTCTATTTGTCAATTTGAAAATTAACATTAATTTGTCATGCCTGCTCCTATTATGAGGAGGTGGGATAGACACACAATTTTGACATAATTACACAAAATTGAAAATGCCCATGGCTACCCTTCATTTTACACCAGTTAGGCCAAGAAAAGTTAGAAGGGACACAGCGGCAGATGGGAAGAGAAGATTTATACAGTATTACACTCTATAATTGAACTCCATAGCTACTCTTAGGGGGAAAAGCTACATTGATTCACCTCTTAGTGGGTCATAATGCATTTACTGCCGAGATTAGACTTATCGAGACATTTCCCCTTCAAGACCAAAATGTTATTAACTGTTCTTTGCTGATCAAGTTTCCATGTGAAAAAATGCAGTGTACAGAGAGTAACAAAGACATATCATTAAAATAATATTTTTTAAAAGATTAGAAATTTGTTAAAATCCTGCAGATCACTGGCAAACAAACAAAAACAACAGGTGTGGCCTCAGTGGTGTTTTAAATTAAACGTGCAGGCCAAATTCATACAGCAAAAATTCACACATTCTTCAAAAACTGATAAATTAACAAAAAAAGAAAGATGGTGGTTGTAGGTTTTTCGGGCTATCTGGTCGTGTTCTTAAGGTTTTTCTTCCTAATGTTTCACCAGCCTCTGTGGCCGGCATCTTCAGAGGACAGGAGTCAGAACTCTGTGTTCTGGTGTACTGTGTGGGATAGTTGAGGATTTGTAGCTGTGGGATCAGCTTTTTGTCCTTTTCAGGAGATGGGGTGATCCCACAGCTACAAATACTCAACTATACCACACCAGAGCACAGACAGAGTTCTGACTCCTGTCCTCTGAAGATGCAGGCCACAGAGACTCGCAAAATGTTAGGAAGAAAAACCTTAAGAACACGGCCAAACAGCCCAAAAAACCTACAACAGCCATTGGATTCTGACCGTGAAAGCCTTCGAGAATACAAAAAAGAAAGAGCAAGAAGGGTTGAAAGAGAAAGTTTTACAATGGAGAAACAAAGATTTACAAAGACACCGAAATCTCATTATGCTACACGGTATGCTTTCAAGAGCGTGAATTCCTTCCTGTTGGTTCGTGCGGCCCAGATAAAAAGGGCAGCTGCCATAAATTGCAGAGGTGCAGAGACGCAGGCCAGGCAGAAGGACCAGCCAAACTGGCCTTGCACAGGAGGTGGGGGTAACTTCTTGTGGAGCAGCTCTATTCCAGCCACGTAGCAGCCGACCGAACCCAGCGTACACAGACCTGGTGAAAAAGCAAGCATGCGATGATCAGATCATGCAGTTCTCAACTGCCGACACAGAACAACTGGGATGGCATTTGCTGGAAAGGACTTTACCTGCGAGGAAGTGGAGGACCCCTGTGGCAATGGCTGGGTAGAGGCTGCGGCATGCGCAAGCACAAATCCCAATAAGTGCTCCAAAACACATGAGTCCTAGGCTGACAAAGGGCAGGAGGAACTGCAAGCGCCAAAGATCTGAAAGAGATATGGAAGCAAACAGAGATATTAAGGACACTTGTCAAGCATCACTGCACAAAACCCCTTTTTTATTTTTAAATTTAAAATCTTCTCGCGCTAACTTTTCTCCTTAAAAAGGACCCAAGGCATCTTTACATCCATGAAAGACAATATTTAAAGCTGAAAACAATGAGTATTCAAAGGGGGTGGTTGGTCGGTGGGTTACATAGTTAAAAGACAATATTTAAAGCAAAGAACCATGAGTATAAAAAGGAAGCTTACATTGTTAGAATATTAAAGCTAAAACAAAAAGTATGCAAATACTAAAGAGGAACAAACAAATACCACTCTGAGAGATGGTAAACACAAGTAGTAATAAAGACCCAGAGAGAGCTGTAATACATAACAAGCCATCTAAAAGTTACTCATGCAGCCAGCCCTGTAGGCAGTCACTAAGAGAAAGGTCTTTGCTGGTCTCATTCCCTGTCAGACAATTTCTTTCATTGTATTCTCGAAGGAAACTTCTTAACTGGTGGCAATTTGGCACTCTGAGTTCGCAACTGCTATTAACATAATTCAGCAACAAGCTGAGATCTGATCTTTGTTGTGGGTTTTTTGGGCTCTTTGGCCGTGTTCTGAAGGTTGTTTCACCAGTCTCTGTGGCCGGCATCTTCAGAGGACAGGAGTCAGAAGGTTAGGAAGAACAACCTTCAGAACATGCCCAAAGAGCCCGAAAACCCCACAACAACCAATTTCATTCATTCATTCATTCATTCGTTCACTCACTCATTCATTCATTCAGTGTACAGTATTTGTCAACCACCCGAGTCAGTGACAACCATTACTCTGGGCAGTTTACAATTTAATTTAATTCTTACATTATTATATTTCACTTTTCTCCCAAAACTTAAGACTCCTGACAGCTCATAATGAGATTTTAAAAGGATACAAAAAAAAGCGCAACAGCCGAACTCCTGTTGCTTAACAGAGTAAATTGCCCTAGAGTAGGCCCACTGATCCAATGAAGATTTGGTGAGGCAATTCCTCTGCACATTCCATTGATTCAAATGGGCCTACTTTAACAGCACCTTGCTTTAGCATAGTAAGTTGCACTGAGGGTAGGCGTATTAGAATCAATGGAATTTACGTAAGAGTTGACTCACCAAATTCCCGTTGAGTCACTGAGCCTACTCACATGCAATTTGTTACACCACAAAACAGAATTTTAGCCAATTAATTATAAGGGCCACAATCTTATGGCAGAGTCACACTGGCTGAAAGGTAATGGTGTAGCTCAACAACAGCAAATTGCCACTAATTAACAGGTCACTGCTTGGATTCCTGGGTGTGCACCAAGTCTTCCAACGGCCCACAACAAGCAATCCAAGGGGAAACTTCTTAATTGGTGGCAATTTGGCACTCTGAGTTCACTACTGCTATTAGCATAATTCAGCAACAAGACTTTGGCCAATATTAGAATACAGTTTAAAAGATTGAGACAACCAGCAAATTAAAAATAATTTTTAAAATACATCAATAAAAAGAAAAATAGTGCATCCCCAGTTGTAGTTCTAAGATTTTATTCTGTCTTTAGCACCTAGTCACTTGCCCCCAAACTGACTGAATAAGACAACCTTTCTTTGCTGGTGAAGGCCAACATGGAAGGAGCCAGGCTGGCCTCTGGTAGAAAGAAACCCAACAGCCTAGGAGCGGCTGCCAAGAAGGCTAAACAATACAGAAATATGGCGCTCATTAAAGTATAGGTTTCTTAAGATTTTAGCTACTAAAAACATGACTATACCATATGCAGAGCCTAGAAGAGTTTCTTTATTTTTTATTAAATCAGAAAAGGGCCACGGGATCTCCAAAACAAAACAAATGCAGGAGCAGGTGAAACTTTTATTAGACCACTCAAAAGAGAGAGAGAGAGAGAGAGAGAGATCAAACAACAGCTAGCTTTTGAAGATGAGCTATCTTCTTCAGGCTATGCACCAGGGTCTTGTGCATTACGTGAACTCTTTTACAAAGATTATTTTTGGATTACAACTCCCAGGCAGAGCAAGGCTGGGGCTGGGGGGGAGGCGGGTGGAGTTCTGCAACCTGGAGTCCCAAAGAAGTAACTTTCCAAGCCCTGGGTGCTAGCAAACTTAAGATGCGCACACAGTTGGTCATCATAACCCAGCGGCTGACTTGAACATTTTGGCAAGTGAGCTATCCTGCTATCCACTCACTTCTGCAGACCTAAACATGATTTCTGCTCTGGTGTGAGCCTCGTGGTGCATTGGTCAAACTGCAGTCCTGCAGTCAAAGACTCTGCTCACGACCTGAGTTCAATCCTGATGGGCTCAGGTATCCGACTCAAGGGTGACTCTACTTTCCATCCTTCGAGGTCAGTAAATAGAATTCCCAGCTTGCTGGGTGGACGTGATGTGTAGCCTGAATAATTAAACTGTAAACCACTCAGCTATATAAGCGGCACACTTTGTTTTTGCTTTCATGTGTACATGCCTTGCTTCCCAGTCCTTTTCATGGCTATTGAAAAATTAGGCTCAGCAAGTTCAGAGGGTCTTACTTCCAACTAGACTTACCGGTATACGTCTCCGCTAAATTGAGGATTACAATGATGATGACAAAGACAGCATTATAATCATCAGCAGCAGAAGTAGCAGTAACAATAGTACAGTGGGGTCTCGACTTACAAACTTAATCCGTATTGGAAGGCAGTTTGTAAGTCGAAAAGTTTGTAAGTCGAATCAGCATTTCCCATAGGAATGCACTGAAAACCAATTAATCTGTTCCGGCTGTTTTTGGTTCTTAGGTTGAGGGGCATTTCCCATAGGAACTAAGGCAAAGCCGGTTAATCCGTTCCTACCACTAGGGGCAGAATTTCTTTCTTTTTTTCCTTTTAATCTAAGATGACTTAGGTTAAAAAAAAAAGGAAAGAAATGAGGGAGAGAAGGAGGGAACAGACACCTTTTCAACAGAACACCCTGAAAAGCACATTTTCAGCCAAGACAAGTACCTTCTGGAAAAAACCAAGCACCTTTCAGACAACAGATCACCTTGAAAAGCACCTTTAAAATCAAGACAAGCCAATACAAGCACCTTTTGGGGAAAGGGGGGGGCAGCAAAGGAGGGAGGGAACACCTTTTAAAAATCCAAAAATCAAAAATTAAAAAAGCGCCAAAAAATAAAAATACAGTCCGTACCGCACTGTACCAGGCAATACCAGCAGTACCAGGCAGTACCAGGCAGTCTGAAGACTGTTTCCAAATCCACTCTCAAAACGCTGGGAAGAGCGAGGAAGTAGATAAGCACCCTCTTCACTGGCCAACGGTTAACTGAAAGTTCAAACTTCATGCTTTCCCCACCTCAAACACGTTTTTTTGGTTTGTAACTCGAATCTAAGTGTGCAAGTCGAGTCAATATTTTTCTATCAGAGTGGTTTGTAAGTCGAAATGTTTGTAACTCGAGCCATTTGTAAGTCGAGGGTTGACTGTAATAACCAGAATCAACAACAGTACAATGGCAACAACAGGAATAATGCTTACAGGTTCTATTCAAGTCACTGCCGCTATTATGATTCCCAGGATCCTTATATTTTTCCATGAACTGGTCTGAAAGGGAAAAGCTGACGCACTTGGTGACCATCTCACCTTCCAGGAAGAAAGAAAGAAAAAGAAAACAATCGTAATTAGGGTTTTGCATTGCTGTTATTTTTTTCAGGCAGACACACCCCTATAGATTAAGCAGGAAAAAGTGTGGGAGCCATGGTGGATAAGAGTTTCGGACTGGAATTCAAGAGACCCACGTTCAAACCTTGGCTTGGCCATAGACACTTCTGGTGGCGGTGGGGAGGTGGCAGCGGGAAAGCACTCGTTGAATATCCCACGTACTTTGAAAACCCTTTGGGGCTGTCGTAAATCAGAAACAACAGCCACAAGAGCAGGAAAAATCCTATCCCTTTCGTCTCCACCCAATACATGGGTATTTAGAACTGAATTGTTTAGAACTGAATTGGTGTTTAGAACTGAATTGTTCAGGCTGCATCTCTCAGAAGGCTCTACTCATGTGGTTCCTGCTGAATTGTTTAGAACTGAATTGGTGTTTACAACTGAACTGTTCAGGATGCATCTCTCAGAAGGCTCTACTCCTGTGGTTCCTGATCTTGGGTCCCCAGATGTTCTTGGACTACAACTCCCAGAAATCCTGACCAGCTAGGAATTCTGGGAGTCTTAGTCCATTAACACCTGGGGACCCAAGGTAGGGAACCACTGTTCTAACTGGTATAGTCATAGTCATGCTCTCTAGGGCAGTGGTCCCCAACCTTGGGCCTCCAGATGTTCTTAGACTTCAACTCCCAAAAATCCTGGCCAGCAGAGGTAATGGCGAAGGCTTCTGGGAGTTGTAGTCCATGCTCCTTAGGGAATGCTGGGAGCTGAAGTCCCAAAAAGTTAATTTTAGAACTATACTAGAGAGGGAGGGAAAGAGACACAGCAACAGGGGGCAGAAGCATCTCTACATCCTTCCCTTGTTCCCAGGATAAAGGAGAGGAGGAGGAGGATGGGAGAGAAAACGGGATGTTGGTGGTTCTGGTCCTGATGGCAACACCCTTGCATGGCATCAACAGGGGGAAGAGGAAATAGCAGCATTTCCAAGCACCAGCTCTAACAAGGATGCTGGCAAGCCTTGGGGCCCACGTCTGAGTTTTCAGGCCCGAGTTGGAACCTCCAGGCCCGAGTTCCAAACTTTGAGTCTTGAGCCTTGATTTTCAAACCACTAGTCATTTCTGGGGAGCCAACTCGTACTGGCCGTCCTAGGGAGCAACAGAGGACCTCCCGAAGCAGCTGCGGCAGTGCAACGTGCCCTTAAGCTCTCTGCCAGTGGAGGAAGCTCCTTTACCAACTTCCACGGTAGGGCCAGCTTTGCTCCCCAGCTGGTTTGTCGATAACGCAGCCCGGCCAGAACCTTGTTGCTGATGCGGAGGAACTTAGGGTACACTTTTTGACTGCCGAATATTCAGAACCATGTGAGTTTTCTCTTGCGGCTTGTTTCTATACAAGGTTGACTCAGAGGTAAACACTGAGTGGAGTTTCATTCTCACAAACGTGTGTATTGGATTGTAGACTTAAGGAACTTCACACGCCTTTTCTGAGGCCGTGGTATTCTGAAACCACAAAGCCATTTTGATCACAACCAAAATAGTTATTATGATCTCAAGAAGAAGAAAAAGAACATCACAAGGACTTCCGTAAGCCGATATCATTAAAGCGTTCTCTTCTGCCAATTTGTCAGCCTTACAACTGAGAATTAACCAGACAAGTTAGAAACATGCTGTAAATCAGAGATTTGATGGTGAGATGGCTCCTTGGGGCATTTTCACACACACCCAAGGGTGCCAAATATGTTCCTTTTAAAAGAACATCACAAGGACTTCCGTAAGCCGATATCATTAAAGCGTTCTCTTCTGCCAATTTGTCAGCCTTACAACTGAGAATTAACAAGTTAGAAACATGCTGTAAATCAGGGATGTGAATGGCGAGGCATGTGAATGTGCTCCTTTAAAAAGCCCCTTTCACTATTAAAACATCTCTAATATAAAAAGTTGATGGTTTTCATCTCCTGTGGTTTTCACTCTATTGATACTGGGGGCTGCCTCTAAGACTCCCCAACTGGAAAAAAAAGCAGCCGAAAGTACCCCATTCAAGTATATCCTGTTTACATAATTCATTTTAAAAATGGGCCAAACTGGACAAGATTGGGTGTTTTGAGGGCCATGGAGGCATTGCTTTCAACTGGCATCTCCTCTTAGGGCCAAGGCAGAGATGAAAACATCATACAATGTCCAAACACGGGTCTCAGAACTTTTCTATTTCAGTTCCAGACTTCTCAATGGGCGGAAGGGATGTGTGTGTGAAATGGAAAGTAAAACACAAGTTCATGTTTTTCTTCCCCATTAGAGTTAACAGCAACAGGGCGGATGTGTGTCAAAATAAGCTCAACTCATTGGAGAATAGATTGGTGAAAACAATTCTACATTTAGCCTGGAAAAACAGATACATTAATATATGATGGGTGGCACCTAAATAGGCAGTAGTAGATGTACCAACATGAATTTGACCCAACTCCGGGAGGCAGTGGAAGACAGGAGGGCCTGGCATGCTCTGGTCCATGGAGTCACAAAGAGTCGGACATGACTTAACGACTAAACAACAACAACATGTAGACATGGCCTTGGGGTCTTGGAAGAACACAAGCTAAAGCTGAATCCACAGTTGTGATGCAACAGGTGGAAAAAAACTCCTACACAATTTTCAGTTCCACTAAGAGAAGTACAGTTTCCAGATCAAGAAAAGTAATTGTTTTATTCTATTCTGCTTTGGTCAGGCCTAATCTGGACCTACCTGCCCCCATTTCACAACAAAATGGACAAGCTGGTGTGATTTCAGAGGGAAGTGGCCAAGATGGTGGGGTAAAGGGTCTCATGGGAACAGTCAAAGCAACTGGATATGTTTAGCCTGGAGAGAAGAAGACCAGGAGGTGGTCTGATAGTCACTTTTCACATACGTGGGCGATCCCATGCAAAATGGAGGAGCAGAAGAGGACCCACATCAATTAATTTCTATTACAAGACAGAAAACTCCAGCTAAACGTCAGGAGAAACTTTCTGATCATAAGAGTTAAGATTAAAACACCACCCGTACCTTTTCCCAAGCTTTTTAAAAAGACAAGATCCGTCAATGGAGGGGGAAAAAACATGGCGATGTCCTAATGGCACACAAGACAGAGGCGGAAGCATGTAGACAACCTCTTTGGAAGGGGTTTACCTGGTGAGTTATACCAATAGGAGTTCTCCGACATCGTGATACACCTCCGCCACAGTCCAATGGTGCCATTCCATCGAAAGAGGGCTTCTGTGTAAGAGTTTTCGTCCGCATTTTCGCCAAAGAGTTCGTCCCAAGTGGCCTTACTTTCACTGTTATTTTCAGGAGGGGCCGGATTACGGTACTCAAACCAAAAGTCGGTGCCGATGGAAGCAGCCAAATAGATGGTGGAGATGAGGCTGAGCACGCAGGCGATGACCAGGGCAGTAGCAAAACGATTATCCATCATTGTGTCTCAACGGGGGGGGGGGGGGCGCGGGGGGCGGGAAGAGATCCACCAGTAATTATTGATTAATTATGCATTTTGCTTTCAACACCTACTCATCAAGTAGTCTGTCAACAGCCTACACCCGCTGTACCGTTCCCTGTTTACTGGCAGTAAACACGCAGATGGTACAGTGAACCCACCCTTTTAAAAAAACTAATTACTAAAATAGATTGGCCCAAATCCTATTAGTTAAAACCACTGGCGTAACACAATCAGCGGCAAATTTCCAGAAGTAAATAAGTTGTAGACATTTTGCTGTGTGTGTGTGCCATTCCTGTGACACGGTACCCCAAAGAAAATGCCTACATGGATTTCTTCACTTGCAGCACTTCACCACTGAGATTTAGGTTGACTGCATTTCTCTGGTGCAAGGATTTTGGCCACTAAATGTGCTATCAAAAGACAGTAAAATACATTAAAAGTAATAAAGTGGGACTGCGGTATCCAGAGGGGATTGGTTCCACGGCCCCCACCTCTGCTGATGCCTGAAACTGTGGATAAATAAAACCATCTCTACCCATCCATCCATAGCGCAGTATCTGGTTCCCTCTGGTTTTCAGTTCTGATAATACATCTTGGACACCAGTATTTCTGGGGGTTTAGTTAATATTTTCAGGCAGTGAATAAGTAAAACCACAGGTACTGATCCCAAGGATCCTACCGTATTAGAACGCATGCAAAGCCAAACATAAAAAACTATTTATTAACACAATAGAGTACATTACCACACATCAATTCTGTCTTGTCATCTGTTTCTGGAAGCCTATTGTGCCAACTACTATTTTCATAGTATCATGTTGGAGATATAGATCAAGGAAGGCAACGTTTGGGAGATATAGAATATGCATGAAGGAAAACTAGCCAAGGCAAGTAACCATTATTTCTGGATGAACAACTTGGCAGATCTGCTTGTTGAGACTCTCACCTGTGTGTGAGCAGCAAATAACAAGCTGGCTGACACATAATGCTCTATTTCATTTTTCTGTGCACTTCATAGCGTGAGACACTGCTTTCCCATTCAATAGCTCACCTAGTTTTATGGTGGCACTGAGATTATGGAGCACCTTCCTATTTATTTATTTAAAATATTTTTACCCTGCCTTCCTTCTTAAAAAGGAACTAAGGCAGCTTGCATTATTAAAATGACAATACTTAATAGCTAAAAACTGTAAGTATGCAAATATTAGAAAAGAATCAAAACCTAGATTTGGATTTAAGCAGGCTTCCCTGTCCCACCTCCTCCGGCAGCTGCCCCTGTGTGGGCACCTGACAGAGGAGGCAGGGTACCAAGCTGCCAAACACTTGGATTTTGACCCTGGAGGCACCCAGGCTGAGAAAGGATGGTTTGGTACAGTATTAGGAAAATGGCCCCCAGCTATCACACTTTCTTCCCTTTTGACAACTTTTAAGATAAACATAGGGTGCTTTTTCTATTTAAATTAACCACAACTTATTGTGTCACCCGAACAAAAAACACACTATGTGTGGTTCATTTTATTTATGGATTGTTGAAACAAGCCAACTTCAAGTCCTTGTTCATGAAACTAACTTTTCAATTAACCATAGCTTCGGCTTGATCACACCATGCCAAACCATGGTCCAACAGCAATGGCAAAGAACTTGCAGTGACTTTAGACCATCACGCTTTCAGGCATGAAGGATCTATGGATTTCCTTAGTTTGCAACAATTCCTTTACAAGAAAGTAAGAGTGAAGAGCGAAGAGAAAGTTAGGGCATTGGCTGGAGCTTAGGGAGTCAATTAGAGGGAATTCTTCAAGAAAGAGGAATGTGCAAAGTAGCAGGTGGTTAAGAAGAGATAAGCACAGATAAAGGGGTGGAGGCAGTCGGAGCTAACCTTATTAACACAGGCGGTGGAGACACTGATGTACAGAGCAGAGTTAAAAGGAAAAAGGGAAGTGACAGCTTAGCAGCACCTCTACAGAAATATGGAGATTTGCGACAACAGTTTAATTATATTTTTGAAGGTTAAAATGCCCACGGGAAGGGAAAGGCCAATATTTGTACATATATTATCTGGATATCTGGCTTGGCACCAAAGAGAAATCAAGTTCCAAACTGAGAGAGTCATAGAGCAATCTGCTCTGAAATTTGGGCACAAAGTACTGTAAAACATTAAAGCAAAAAACACCAGCATCCGCTGAGAGTGCTCTGAACCAGGCTGTCAAAAGCATGAATAAAGGCTGCTGTCATCCAGAGCTCAGAAAAGTTATTTTAATATCCCAAATTCCTCAAGCAGATCCCGGGAAATCAAAAAGTGACCTTGTCAAGTTCTTTTATCTCCCCATCTTTATGAACCCACTCTTGGAAGCTGAAGTACAAGGTGCCCCAAGTGTACTTATGGGCTACCACTTAATCTGGAGCAGCTGTTCATCAGGGACAAATCCTCATCACCACGTATGCAGAACGGTATTAGGACCTGTTCTAAACCTAAATGCTAGTTGTGTCCATTAATTAACATCTGCAACAGCAGGACATACGGGGATAATTACTACATTTAAGACATGTATACATCATCAAATGTTGTATATCTGATCTCCTGTTTTTTGTATCCAAAAACCCCTTACATGAGCCGAACAGGACCATATTTTAAAAAAAATATACCAAATAATATATACCAAAAAACCAGCTGATCTCCTGTTTTTTGTATCCAAAAACCCCTTACATGAGCCGAACAGGACCATATTTTAAAAAAAATATACCAAATAATATATACCAAAAAACCAGGTAGAAGCCAGATGTCAAGCATATGATCGACTATCATACTCTTGTATGGGACCAGTGGTTAGGAAACTATAAATAACAGCTTGCCTGGAGCATAAGATTAGGAAACAGGACATGAAAAGCACATTTGATTGTGTTTCTCAAGGGCTCAGTAAGAACTGTGGTCTCAACATATGTTATGAAAGATTCCTTTGCGCTTTGTGGAATGTCATGTGACAGTTTAAGAGACAACCACCAGGCAGATATCGCTTGAATTGTATTCCTGACTTGAGCAGGGGGGTTGGACTCGATGGCCTTGTAGGCCCCTTCCAACTTTAATTATTTGATGGTTCTATCAGAACGCCTGCTCCCAGCCAGATCTGTCCATAATACCCATTCTTCACAGGCTGGGCAGTTAAGGGCCTTGGCCCCGAAGGAGGCCCGGAGGGAAAGAATAAGAAACTGGGCCTTCTCGGCGGTTGCCCCCCACCTATGGAACAACCTGCCCACTGAGATGCACCTGGCACCCTCGCTGGATGCATTCAAACAAGCATGGAAAACTTGGTTCTTCCGCTAGGCTTTCTTGGAGCACTAGGATCTCTCCCTCCCTTTTTTACCATCCTTTTTGCTATCCTCTCCATCACCTTTCTTACCACCGTCATCACCATCTGTTTTAATTTACCCTATTTGGCTATGTCCCCTTCATGGATTGCTGCCTTGTTATGGTGAAGGGGCTGGAGTAATTC